TTGTTTTTGACAAAAGAAATTTTCTTCTTGTAATTTTTAAAAAATTAATTTTTTTTTTACTGTTAACAATGTATTTTAAAAATATATTTTATATATAATTTTTATTATAAAACTTAACGTTTCTAATTTCAATTTAATTTTTGATAATTAAAACATGTAGAAAGAGAGAATATTCAAGTATTACAAATTATTATAAATAAGAGATAAAATTTTAATTGAGATTTTATTAATATTTCTAATTCCTTTGTTTTTTTAATAATACATGACTTTATTATACAATTGTTTTCATGGCTCAACTTACCTTTTGAGGTGGCTCAACATGCTCCATGAGTGAAATACATTGAGCCACTCTGATTTTTTTGTATTTGAAACTAATTTTTTTTTATTTAGAAAATATATTAAGGATCTATGAGTGCTTAATTGGAGCTAGATAAACATGCAATATATACTTAAAGCAATGTTCATTAGTCTATTACAATTATATAAAAATATATATTAGTCTGAATGAAAAGTTGCCCATTTAGCCTCGCTCTACCCTACTTACGCATACATATTATTGTGAAAGTTTAACATCCACGTATCATAAATGTGTTTTAGCTTACGATAAAAGTTTGCGATATTTTGAAATATATGGTAAACTATATAGATTGAATTGAATTAAACTTATATCTTTTTATATAGACGACACAAGATGATGTGTATGTCGGTTCCATGTATTTCTACAATATTTGACAACACAATGGTATACTACATTTGTGAAAGCAGCCCTGTTAAAATTGAATTCCGAAATGTAAGTATTTCGAGAATGGAAGTAAGAAAAAGATTTGTGCTTTTTAATTTAAAATAAAAGTGAAAAATATAATAATAAATATAACATTAAATTTTTGAACATAAAACTTGCACAAATTAGCGAAAATATTTATTATTTAATTAATTTTTTATAAAGAATGAGATTAAAATAATATTTTGACTAAAAAAGAAATCAAATAATAATTATAATTGCATACTTTTAAATATATATTAAACAACTCGCAAATAATATAAATCTGTGAATTATGTAATTGCTATTTATTCTTAATTAATTATGTACTATAAATTATTAATTAATTTACTGTTATTCTATATATAATTTACAACTCTCACTTATTAAAATATGTCAAATTACTTAATATTTTATTAATAAAAAAATATTTAATAAATAATTAAAATTGTGTTATATTTATGTAAAAAATAAAGTATGCGCTCTGAAAATTTAATGTTTATTTCGTAATTTTATCAACATTCAAAATAACAATAAAATACTAGTGAAATGACGGTGAAAGAATGGTAAACTCTGTAATGTAATGAAATATAATTATATTCTACTCTATATCTGATAATACTATAGTAAACAAACAAATTATATAAAATATTTTGATTATTTTTCCAATGTCACCTGTAAGAACGATATGTATGTTACGGCAGTTCTTAGAATGTCTGTCGTAGTTCTCCTTGTTATATAAAAGAATTTCCCAGCTGTGAGCTGAAGAGGAACCTTTGTTCGCATCATAATAAGTATCAAATCCTTCACTGCGCTGTACGGCAATTCGTGCCACGTTGTATTATATATTGCCGAAACGATCGATTCGCTTTGATTCTGCAAAGCATCGCCGGCGTGTGTAAACAAGAAAGATTGTACAATACAATAGTGGATAAACATCATACTTTTTGCCACATCAGTATAATTCTGATGTTTAATAGACACTAGACCACGCATTCCTGAAACAAGCTGTGTGTTTTTTTAAAATTCACTTAATATAAAAAATATTTAATACAATTAAATACACATATATTTTTTGTCAGTGTTTTATATAGCACATTACACTTGTTTACTTTGATACTATTATTATATAAAAAAATTCGGTTAATTTAATATATAGAAATTTTAACTCTATATTTTAATGTATTCTACAAAGTTTTTTTTTTATTACATTAAAACAACAATGGGACAAAAAAAAGATCAATTAAGACAACTAAAACGCATATGTACCTGATATCGCAATTGTTAAAGTAATTATTAGTATACGAATCAAAAGAGTAATGTTGAAGGAGTCTTCAATATTTTTAGCCAGTGCTATTAGTTCATAATGCCTTTTGATCCAAGATCTCAAGTTATTTCGATAATGATTCTTTTCATTTATTTTTTTTTCAAGTTCAGTGAAACGAATTCTCAAGAGCTCTAGTTGACCGCAGAGGTGCATAGTAAGAGCAAAGAAAAAGCTATCGATAGCGCATTCTGATATGAAAATTATAAATCCTTGTAAAAACTGCATAGTAAGAAGTAATTTATACGTGGAATATGAAACCCTGCCAAACAAACATGTTGCTGGAAGGACGAAATTCCACAAAATTACGGTGTCGTTACCAATAATTACGACCTATTAAAAAATACAATATCATAATACTTATTATAATAGAATTAATAATATCGCACATCCGCAAGAAAAGTGACACAAATCAAAAATAGCAAATTGTTCAGTATGTGTGATATATATAGAAATATGATAATAAAAATCTTGACATTACCTGTTGTTTATTTGCAATGATAACGTAGGGGAAGTATAAGATAAAGCCTATAAGCGCAATCACCGATTGGAATACGACGATTACTCGACCGATTCGTGCGTACCTTGCCATTATTAAGTTAGTGTTTTTCTTTATCAATGAAGAGGACCAATCGTCAATAGCAGAATTTACATTTATGGCAATTTTTTTCATATAAAAACGCGAAGAAATAACATTTATCAGCCCGTGTAAAGCGGATTCGGTGATAAGAAACGTATCCAGAGAATCTTTGGCATTTCCACAATTTTGGTAAGAGTCTACCAGCATGATGATTATTGTGAAAGACTATACGATAGCAAAGGCTCTGCTTTATAAGTGAATATGTAGAATTAGATACTATAAAATTCTGAATAATAAGAATATAGGACTTTATTTAATTATAAAATTTGCAACTTTATTTAAATTACAAGTAGTCTTATAATACAAATCTTTGAAAGAATTTATTTATCTTTAAAAGAATTTATTTATTTAATCTTTGAAAGAATTTATTTATTTATTTTTTAAAGAAAGAAGTGATGACAAAGATAACTTCTCAAATTCCCAAAAACATAAAGCTAGTAAAAAAATTGTTAGTAAATTATTCTAATTTGAACAATTATTATACACAAATCTTTTTTTAAGTTTTAAACATATATATCTTCTTAATTTTATCATAAAATGCTATTCAAAATTATAATGGGAGTTAAGTATAATTTTTTACGCTATATACTCTTACCTTTATTATAAATATAATGAACCAACGAAATGTGCAAAGCAAATCATTCTTTTGTAAAGGCCATGTACCGAGTATCCACATCATCTTTCTTATTTCTAAAAAACCATATTCCATACCACTGTTCCAATCTGTCTTCATGGTGATAGGCCAGTATGTGTCTTAATAGAATTGCAGTCATGCGTGACTGAATATAACTCGATCTATAGAATGTACGTCTTCGATAGAAATTACTTTCTTCGATGCTATCACTTGATGATCGATCGGCCTTTATGGCAGTAAGATAAATGATGGAACAAATTTGCGTAACCATACATTCTTGCAAAATAGTACATTTGTGCATTATTTTTTATAATGCACACAATTTTCTATGGTCTGCGATAGTTTCGTAATTCACCGTAACTCTTAAATGATTACGAACGAAATAACAACATTGTTCACTGGACTTATAGCGTCTGTTAGAAATAGTGATCGCGTCAATATATTGTAGCAAAAAAAATTGAAACTTTTTTTTGCTATATTTTCAGCCTATGTTTGCAATAAGTTTCGATACTATCAAGATATTGATAACATGTCTTTTTTAAAAAAAGATTTGACATAACAATAAAATTCAAATATAACAATTAAAGAGTGGTGAACTGTAATGTACTGAAATATAAATTATATTTTATTTTATATCTACAAATGTTGAAATACAGGTAAACAAGTGCAATAAATTAATTAGATTATTCTTTTATTGTCACCTGTAAAAACGATATGCATGTTATGACGGTTTTAAAAATGTCTGTCGTAGTTCTTCTTGTTATATAACGTCCACGAATCATAAATGTGTTTTAGCTTACAGTAAAAATTTGCGATATTTTGAAATATATAAACTATTTAGATTGAATTGAATTAAATTTATATCTCTTTATATAGATAACACAAGATGATTTGCATGTCGGTTCCATTGCTACAGTATTTAACAACACAGTGGTATACTATATTTGTAAAAACAGTCCTGTCAAAATTGACTTAAATTTCGAAATGTAAGTATCTTCAAAATGTAAGTAAGAAAGACATTTATGGTTTTTAATTTTAAAAAAAGAGAAAAATACAATAATAAATGTAACATTAAATTTTTAAACATTTAATTCGCACAAATTAGCTGAAATATTTATTATTTAATTAATTTTTTATAAACAATAAAATTAAAATAATATCATTACTAAAAAAAAATCATATAATAATTATACTTTTACATTTTTAAATATATATTAAGCAACTTGTAAATAAAATAAATTTGTGAATTATATAATTGCTATTTATTATTAATTAATTTTGTACTATAAATTATCAATTAATTTACTGTTATTCTATATATAATTTACAATTCTTCCTTATTAAAATATGTCAAATTACTTAATATTACATTAATAAAAAAGTATGTAATAAATTATTAAAATTTTTTATATTTATATTTTGTTATATTTGTGTTATATTTATGTAAAAAATAAAATATATGCGTTCTGAAAATTTAATGTTTAATTTGTAATTTTATCAACATTTAAAATAACAGTAAAATACAAGCATGATGGTTAAAGAATGGTAAACTCTGTAACGTAATGAAATATAATTATATTCAATTCTATATCTGCAAAAGCTGTAATACTATAAGAAACAAACAAATTATGAAATAATTTGATTATTCTTCCATTGTCACCTGTAAGAACGATATGTATGTTAAGGCAGTTTTAAGGATGTCTGTCGTAGTTCTCCTTGTTATATAAAAGAATTTCCCAGCTGTGAGCTGAAGAGGAATCTTTGTTCGCATCATAATAAGTATCAAATCCTTCACTGTGGTGTACGGTAATTCGTGCCACGTTATATTATATATCGCCAAAACGATCGATTCGCTTTGATTCTGCAAAGCATCGCCGGCGTGTGTAAACAAGAAAGATTGTATAATATAATACTGGATAAACATCATACTTTTTGCTACATCAGTATAATTCTGATGTTTCATAGACACTAGACTACGCATTCCTGAAACAAACTGTGTGTTTTTTTAAATTCACCAATATAAAAAATATTAAATACAATTAAATACACATATATTTTTTTTCAGTGTTTTATATGGCACATTACACTTGTTTACTTTGATATTATTATTCTATAGAAAAATTCAATAAATTTGATATATGGAAATTTTAACTTTATATTTTAATATATTCTACAAAGTTTTTTTTTTTATTGTATTAAAACAACAATGGGACAAAAAAAAGATCAATTAAGACAATTAAAACGCATATATACCTGATATCGCAATTGTGAAAGTAATTATTAGTATACGAATCAAAAGATTGATGTTGAAGGAATCTTCAATATTTTTAGCCAGTGCTATTAGTTCATAATGTCTTTTGATCCAAGATCTCAAGTTATATCGATAATGATTCTTTTCATTCATTTGTTTTCCAAGTTCATTGATGCGAATTCTTAAAAGCTCTAGTTGACCGCAGAGGTGCATAGTAAGAGCAAAGAAGAAACTATCTGCTGCGAACTCCGATATGAAAATTACGAACGCCTGTAATAACTGCATAGTAAGAAGTAGTTTATACGTGGAATATGAAACCCCGCCAAACAAACATGTTGCTGGAAGGACAAAATTCCACAAAATTACGGTGTCGTTACCAATAATTACGACCTATTAAAAATTAGAATATTATAATATCTATTATAATAGAATTAATAATAACGCACATCCGCAAGAAAAGTGACACAATTCAAAAATGTCAAATTGTTTAGAAGAAAGGATGTGCAATATATGTAAAGATATAATAATATAGCTCTTGACATTACCTGTTGTTTATTTGCCATGATAACGGAGAGGAAGTATATCAAAGTGGCTACAAGCGCAATCACCGTTTGGAATACGACGATTACTCGACCGATTCGTGCGTACCTTGCCATTATTACGTTGGTATTTTTTTTTGTCAATGTAAAGAACCAATCGTCAATAGCAGAATTTACATTTATGGCAATTTTTTTCATGTAAAAACGCGAGAAAGTGATATTTATCAGCGCGTGTAAACTGGCTTCCACTATAAGAAATATCTCCAAAGAATCTTTGGCATCTCCACAATTTTCGTAAGATTCTATCAGCACGGTGATTATTGTGAAAGACTATACAATAGCAAAGGCTCTGCTTTATAAGTGAATATGTTGAATTAGATAATATATATTTCTGAATAATAAAAATATAGGACTTTGTTTAAATATAAAATTTGCACAAAAACTTGATTTAAATTATAAGTAAAAATCTTACAATACAAATCTTTCAAAGAATTTATTTATCAGTTTTTTAAAGAAAGAAGTGATGACAAACATGACTTCTTAAATTTCAAAGACATAAAACTATCAGTAAAAAAGAATTGGTCGAGTTATTCTAGTTCGACCTATTATTATATATATCAATTTCTTTTAAAGTTTTAAATATAAATATCTTCTTAATTTTACCATAATTTGCTATTTACATTTAAAGTTGGAAGTTAAGTATTATTTTTTTACGCTATGTTCTCTTACCTCTATTATCAATATCATAAACCAACGAAATGTGCCAATCAAATCATTCTTCTGCAAAGGCCATATACCGAGTATCCACATCATCTTCCTTATTTCCAAGAAACCATATTCCATACCACTGTTCCAATTTGTCTTCATGGTGATAGGCTAATCTGTCTCTTAAAAAAATTGTAGTCATGCGTGACTGAATATAACTCGATCTATAGAATGTACGGCTTCGAAAGAAATTACTATCCTCGATGCTATCACTTGTTGATCGATCGGTCTTTATAGCAGTAAGATAAATGATACAACAAATTTGCATAACCATACATTCTTGCAAAATTGTACATTTGTGCATTTTTTTTTATAATGCGCACAATTTTCTATGGTCTGCGATAGTTTCGTAATTCACCGAAACTCTTAAATGATTACGAACGAAATAACAACATTGTTCACTGGACTTATAGCGTCTGTTAGAAATATTGATCGCGTCATTATATTGTAAGAAAAAAAATTGAAACTTTTTTAGCTTTATTGACAGCTCATATTTGCAATGAGTTTCGATACTATCGAGATATTGATAACATGTCTTTTTAAAAGAAGGGTTTAAGATAACAGTAAATTCAAGTATAACGGTTAAAAAATGGTGAACTGTAATGTACTGAAATATAATTTATATTCTATTTTATATCTACAAATGTTGTAATACAATAAGTGAACAAGTGCAATATAATAATTTGATTATTCTTCCATTGTCACCTGTAAGAACGATATGTATGTCATGGCGGTTTTTAGAATGTCTGTCGTAGTCCTTCTTGTTATATAAAAAAATTTCCCTGCAGTCAGCTGAAGAGGAACTCTTGTTCGCATCATGATAAGTATCAAATCCCTCATTTTGGTGTACGGCAATTCGTGCCACGTTGTGCTATATATCGTCGAAACGATTGATTCGCTTTGATATTGCAGAGCATCGCCGGCATGCGTAAACAAAAAAGATTGTACAATGTAGTACTGAACGAAGACTATACTTTTTACTAAGTCAACATAGTTCTGATGTTTAATGGACACCATACTACGCATTCCTGAAAAGAGCTGTGTTTTTTTAAATTTTCTTAATATATAAAATATTATTTGCACTTTAATATACATATATTTTTTGTCATTAATTTATTTGTCATACTATTCTAGTTTATTCCAATATTATTATTCTTAAAAATTTTGAAGAACTGATATATAAAATTTTAATATTATATTTTAATATATCGTGCAAAGTTTTTTTTTTTCATTGCATTGAAACAATAATAAAAAACAAAGAGAAGATTTATGACACATATACAATACCTGATATCGCAATTGCTATGGTAATTACTAACAAACGAATCAAAAGATTGATATTAAAAGAATCTTCAATATTTTTAGCCAGTGCTATCAGTTCGTAGTGCCTTCTGATCCAAGATCCTAATGCATTCCGATAATAATTTTTTTCGTTCATTTTTTTTCCAAGTTCAACAAAACCAATTCTCAGAAGTTTTAGTTGACCACAGAGGTGCATAGTAAGAATAAAGAAAAAGCTATCGGTCGCACATTCTGTTATATACATTATAGACGTCTGTAATAACTGCAAGAGAAAAAGTGCTGTGTACGTGGAATATGAAATCCCGCTAAACAGACATGTTGTTGGAAAGACGAAATTCCACAAAGTTACGGTGTCGTTACCAATAATTACAACCTATTAAAATAGCCTAAGATATATTACACAGTTTTACGGTTACCTCATAAAAAATTATATATAGAAAATTTTTATAGATAAAGAATATGCACATAAACTGTAGAAAGGTTTTATTTTTTAAATTATTTATTTTATTTTTTATAACAGATCTGGCAATTATAATATTAAAAATAAACATAAACAGATTCGTAAAAATTTACATTTTAGTTTTTTTTGTTGAATTATATATTACGTTAATAGAGTATATAATGTAATAAAAGTACTAATAGAGTCAAAGGCGATGAGAATAAAGATCTTGACATCACCTGTTGTTTATTTCCAAAGAAAATGGTGGGGAAATATAACAAAGTGGCCATAAGCCCAATCATCAATTGAGACACGGTGATTAGTCGACCAATTCGTGCGTACCGCATCATTATTACATTATTAGTATGTTTCTTTACTGACGTAGAAGACCAATCGTCAATAGCAGAATTCACATTTATGGCAATTTTTTTCATATAAAAACGTGAAGAAATAATATTTATCAGCGCGTGTAAACTGGCTTCCACTATAAGAAATACCTCCAGAGAATCTTTGGCATCTCCACAATTCTTAGAAAATTCTATCAGCACGAGGATCATTGTGAAAGACTATACGATAGCAAAGGCTCTGCTTTATAAGTGAATATGTTGAATTAGATTATATATATAAGATTCTGACTAATAAAAATGTAAGACTTTATTTAAATATATAAATTTTGCACAAAAACTTAATTTAAATTACAAGTAAAAGTCTTACAATACAAATCTTCTAAAAAATTTATTTATTAATTTAAAAAGAAGGAACATTAATGACAAAAATAATTTCTCAAATTCCCAAAAACTTTAAGCTAGCAGTAAAAAATTTAGCCGAGTTATTCTAGTTAAATTATTACTATACTGATTTTTCTTAAGTGAACCTAAACATAAATACGTAAACACGTTTTTTAATTTATCCTAATTTATTATTTGTATTTCAGCTAAGAAGCTAAGTATTATCTTTTTACGCTGTGTTTTCTTACCTGTACTATCAATACCATAAACCAACGAAATGTGCAAACCAAGTCGTCCTTCTGTAAAGGCCATATACCGAGTATCCACATTATTATCCTTATAAACGAGAAACCATATTCCATACCACTGTTCCAATTTGTCTTCATATTGGTTGGATAGTTTGATCTTCAAAAAAAATTGTAGTCATGCGTGACAGAATATAGCTCGATCTATGCAACGTACAGTTTCAAAAAGAATTATTATCCTCGATGCTATCACTTATTGATCGATCGGTCTTTATGGTAGTAAGATAAATGATAGAACGAATTTGTGTAACCATACATTCTTGTAATATCGTACATTCGTGCATTATTTTTTATAGTGCGCACAATTTTCTATGGTCTGCGATAGTTTCGTAATTCACCGAAACTCTTAAATAATTACGAACGAAGTAACAACATTGTTCACTTGACTCATAGCGTCTGTTAGAAATAGTGATCGCGTTACTATATTGTAAGAAAAAAATTGAAACTTTTTTAGTTTTATTTTCAGCTGGGTATGGATTTGCTTTCTCTTTTCTTTTCGAATTCAGTGTCAATTTATTTTTATTGTTTAAAGTATATACTATCTGATTAAACGAGAATTACTTATATTGTTATGGTAAGTCTTATATGTTAAAGCTTTTTTTTATTTCTTTTCATTTTTAATATCTAAATTTTTATTGTTTAAAATTGTCTTACTAACTTGCCGATATTTGCGGACTATTGCAATAATGACAGGTGTAATGCATATATATTTAAATTTTTACTTATAGACAAAATAATTAAATTTTTCTATTTGTTTTTATTTGTAAATGTAATATTGAGTTTCTAATTGATTATTATCAAGATTATTCTTCATAATAGCCATCAGCATAAAAAACAATATTTTAATAAGAAATGTTTTTTATCAAATGTTATAGTTTAAAAAATATTATGAATATAATTAAAACAATGTTATAAGCTAAAAGTTAAAATACCTTGTTTTTAATTGTTTATGTTTCTAACATTACTCTTAATACAGATAAATATGAGGCGGAAGCCTTCAGAATTTCTTTAAAACTTGCAAAATTCATTGCTAGAAACTTCCCTGCAGTCAATTGATGAGGAGTCGCTGTCCGAAGAATTACCAGTGGCAAATCCTTCATCACGCTCAAGTCAAAGTTGTACCATGATGAGTCGTAAACGGCGTAGGCGAGTCCTTGCGATTGCAACTCCAACGTTTGTCCGGCGAAGCAGTAGAGAAAAAGTTGCACCAACAACACGACGATAAAGAGAACATGTTTCATAGGGGCGAATGTATCATGTATCGAAAGTGTAAGAATCAATTGAAAACCTGAAACACATACGATAACGGATTAAATCAATAGTAAGTTTATAAAATAATTCTTACAAAATTTTAAATCTATATAGTTTTTGTATTACTGAATCGAAACGGAAATCCTTCTTAGAGAATATAAAATTTGTGCTAACAAACTATTACTGTCCTAACCGTTTAATCAATGATACTATGTGATAAAATGATATCCAAATACGATTTATTTGAAATAAAATTTACCTTCAATACATAAGAGCATGACGCTCATTAAAAGTTGCGAAAAGATGACGAGATTGAATGCTTTGTGCAGATGATGCGCCAAATATATGAGGCGATGATGTCTCTTTATCAGGATGACGAATTTGTCGCGGGAAAAATATTCGTCGCTCATTTCAGCGAAGTCCATCCTGAGAACTTCGAATTGTCCGCACACATGCATCGTAAGATCGAAGAAGAATCCGTCGTTCCCGCATTGCGAGATACAGTTGACGAGGATCTGCAGCGCCTGCAGAACTTCAATTAAACCATAAGTGAAGGACGTATAGTTCCCGAAGACGCAGTAGGCTGCTAAGAGCAATCTCTTTTCACTCGTTTTATTATAATTCTCCACTTCCGAGATCCAAGATAAATCGAGATTGGCGAATATAAAGGACGAAAAAAGGAACACGACAGAGGCGCAGCCGAGATAAAGGAATATTACGGATCCGAATCTACCTATGCGCGAATATTTGAGCATAATATCACGCGAATGAGAATTTGTCACAAAAGTCCAATCGTAAATGATGGATTCCACCAGAATTAATTTGTGTTTCCAATTTATGCGATGCAAAAGCAATTTTGATATGCTAATCACTGACGAAGACGCCGACAGAAAAGCGTCCAGAGCATCCTCGTGGCCTCGACAATGTCGAATAACTTCCAGTGACAAGCTGATCGTCGCACTCATCTAGTTTATGAAAATAAAATACAATGTTTTGAATTTTCGCGCAAATTTTTGGTTTTTATCAAATTGAAGAATTTATAACAAAAACAATCCTTGTCAGAAATTGGAAAAATTGAAATAATAACGTATTATAGTAGTCACAGGTGGAACCTATAGTGTGATTGTATCAATTCTGATAAAAACAACTCATGCTTTGAGTTTTGGTTCTATTAAAAACTTATAAATGACAATGTTTTTTCTTCTTCTAAAAAAATGAAAAAATTGACAAGGGTTGTTTTTATTATAAACCCTTCAATTATATTGTACAAGTATGGTTGAAATAAAACTTTAGTTTAATTTATATTAGATAACTGTTAATTCGAACACAAAATTAAGTCAGATTTACATACAAATATTAAAATTTATACAAAAAAATGTAAAGCACATAAAATAAAAATATATAAACATTATAATATTTTAAAAAATATCACTTACTTCCACTATCGTCGATATAAACCATCGAATTCTCGAGAATACATTTTTTTCATCTAACACCCAGAGTCCAAGTGTACCAAGAAGATACTTATAAAGCGTTAAAATGTGTGCAGTATCAGCATTCCATTTCATAGACAATCCCATTTTCAAACGCTCGAAAATTTACAGTCTACTTTCGTCGATTTCGTCAATCGACGATTGTTACAAAAAGTTCTCCGAGTTTCTTTCCGCTTCGCTTCCCCTCGAAAATAGTTGCAATCCTTCTTTCCTCCACGATGACCGCATCATTTAATATTCGCTTTATTGTTGACGTGATCCACGTTTGTTACTCCGCAAAACCTAAAGCAACCCCTTGCGGTAACCCCAAGTCTTGGGATTTCTTTCTGCTCTATTATTCATACCTTTGGCTCCCGCGATTTCCTTTGAAAACGAAAGTACAGCCTACTTCTACATTTCTATTTGTATAAATAATACGTTTGCGCAACGCTACATTGTCCTCGACGATACTTTAATGTTTCGAATAATAGATCCACCGGCATAAGGCTTCTATTTGTTAATAAATAAAAGATTTGCTATTTCAACAGTAGTAATCTGCCCCTTGAAATTATCATTCCAGTCGTCGAAGAAACAATTTGTACTTTCTCTAGATAGATAAGTATAAACGGAAAATAAACGACAGAAGAACATTATATATCAGAAAAGATGTAATAAAAAACCGTAGAGAAAATATCATATTAAAATGTGAAAATATTTGTAAGTATATCTTTTCACGATACAAATGCTACAAATTAAATAACAATGACGAAAATTTGTTCTGCCACATATGCATTATCATTAATAAAATATCAGCATGTTTTAAGATCTTTAAATTTTTTCCAGTATGAAAAATTGCTCTGTGAATAAAAAACGACGAATTATTATGTATAACGATGAAATATCATGTAATCTGTAAAAGATGTGATAGCGTGGAGAAAAACACATATTGCAAACGTTTATAAAAATAGTAAATATTATAAGAAAAGAAAAATAGATAAGAATAAAAATTGTGGACAAACAATGTACATATAATTTTGAAACTACATTATGTTTAATACTTGTCATGTTTTTAATGGAAAAAAAAACACATACTAGTATGAAAAGTTTTCTCTATGGACTAGTAATTGTCAATATGTACATATTTTATGATACATTTGGATACAATTGTTAATTATTGCACTGGAATTATTGCTTGTAAATAATTAAATAAAATATCTTTGTAGAAATTGCAAATATTCTTTCTGGAACTATCTTACGGAATTAAAATATGTGTCCCAAAATAATTGTAATTAAATATATTTATGTATTTTACGCAATAGTTTTAATTTTTGTACAATTTCTCTGTAAATTTTCAGTCTTATACACACACTCACGTACGCAAGCACACGTATACGAACTGCCGATCAACATTATGACTTCAATAACGCTATTCGTAAAACTGAAATGTACGAAGCCGCCGTCCTGAGAATATACATCATTGTCTCACGATTAACGTAAAAGAATTTTCCACCGGTAAGGCGAAACGGAACGCTTGCTCTCATCATCGCGAAGTGCATGTCCTTCATCAACGCTACGGGAAATGTGAACCAGGAAGTCATGTACAACGCATGGAATATACCTTCACTTTCCCCTTGCAGGAAGTCACCACCGTATGTAAGCACCAATGATTGCAGCAACAAGTAATTCAAAACCAACAAACTCTTCGTTGCTTCTAGATAATTATTTTCGTTCAGGGAAATATTTATGCGTAAACCTAAAAAAAATTTTATTGCAGATAGAGCAAAACAACGTGAGATGTGAGTAATTAAGATAGTTAAATCGAACAAAATAGAAATATTGAGTAAAATTAATTGATATATATCGTGATATATAAATTTGTTACACTTAATTTTAGCCATACGTTACCTATGATCGCAAGCATGAGAGTAGTTACCACAAGTTGGAATAATATAAAGAAGTGGAAGCTGTCTTCCAAATTTTGATAGTTTTCCATTAGCTCGTTGTGCCTGTTAATCAACTTGGCGAATTTTTTTCGATGATTTGCTTCAGTATCCGGTTCATTCGCGAAACTTTTAAATTTGTTTTTAACTATTTCGAGTTGACTGGTGAGATACATTGTGACATTAAAGAAAAAGCTATCCACAACAGGCTGTACAACACACATCAAACCCAGTTGAAAAGTCTGCAGAGCCAGGATGATTATATACTGCGTACCAGTGACCAAGCTACTCAATGGACCAGATGGGATCAGAAACATCCAATTTATTGTAGTAGAATTAGCTACACACGATGAAAAATTTATATCGTAGAAATTGTTGTAACAATGCAATAATTTAGTATACAAACTAAATTGAAAAATTATATCCGATAACCAAAAACTTTTGTGTGGCTTTTTATATTAGATTTAATTTAAAAAACCGTATAAACTTTTTTGATTATCTGATATTTAAAAAATATGCACAAAAGTAATAGTACAATCAAATTTTACCTTCTAGTGGATCCATGAAAAATATCTGCTGCAAGTTTATAAACACAATGCCGAATATATAAACAAAAAAGCATCCGAGGCCTGCGTACAGTATCGAGAAGGTGAGTATTCTACTTCTAAACGCATATTTCCTCATGATTTTCCAAGTGTCTTTATCGTTTTTAGCCAATAACCAATCGTCCATAGCAGCATTGAGGTTTGCATGCAATCTTTTTCGACTAACAGCAATACAAATAAATTTTACGCTTCCCATTATCGAGCCCACAAGATATAGTATACTTTCCAAGTTTACGCCGGTGTTTGTTTTAGTCCAGATAAAATCCATTATTACAAAAGGTATTACTATGGCCTAAATAATAATTTCTATCTTAAAAAATAATATATATGTGCAAATTCTGTTGTTGCGTAAAATAACGGTGCGCACGTAATAAATACATTTTTCTACATAACATATAATAATATTTTTTAAATAATATATGATATTTTATATTTTATTTTTCTCCATATAATTATTTGTATACATACGTTTATAAACATGATGAAGATGTGTCGCATTCTCATGAATATCGTAAACTTTCCGAATGGCCATAGACCAAATATTCTTAACCATAGTCTATGAGTAGAAAAAGCATAAGCGATATCATCGTTCCAGCGTTCATCCGACATTCTATCGAATGGAAGAACTCGAATGACTGTCCATTTTCAACCACTTTGATGAGTTGTTACAGACAAAGTTTTGTCAATTTAACATCATTCTACAATCATCTTCATCAGGCATTATAGTGAGTTATCATGACTGCGCAGTAATAGAGCTTATTACATCTCATGTTTTATTAGACTGCGCAGAACACTTTTCATGCTGGTAAGATACGTGCGAAGCAAAGAGTTCGGTATACATAGTATCAGTCTTTACACTACTCTCTGCAAACTTCGATATCACAATGGGTGAATTCTTCTATTATTTCTATCACGTAAGCAGTGACAAATTTAATAAAACTTTTAATTTTATTGATTTAAATAAAATAATCATTTCTATATAAATTTATTTCGTCAAAATACCCTAGGTAGAAATTTCCCTCGATCTTCCCTGAATGTATACGGGCCCCGTATGGGAAATATTAGCTTGGAAAATCCGGACGGGTCCTGGCTTTTCGCTATAAATTTTTCACGATTTTTTCCGGGTTTTGATTAAAAAATATCTATCTGTATTTTTTCCTGGATCTAGCCGGGTTTGATCAGGGAAAAACTAGTATTTTTATTTTGAACTTTTAGATTATTCTAACGTTTGTTAAATATTTTACGGCTCAAAATAGTAATACCTTAGAGCATATCAAAGAGTTTTACGGTTCGAAATAAAAGATAAAACGGTTTGAAACGTACAAAATGTGTGATCGCATATTAACGGATTCTCGTCTACTGTTGAAGCGAAAATATCGGGCGAGGAAAAAATTAGAAACAAAAATAGTGAACATCGAAACTGAAAGTAACACGTGTAACAAAAGTGACTTAATAAAAAACAAGTATTTGCGATCTAACAGTAATAAAGATTAAAAACCGCCAATAAAATATATAAGGAGTAAATATTTATTTATTAATATTACAAGTTATTATTATTATTATTATTATTATTATTATTGTTGTTGTTGTTGTTATTATCGAATAATTCAGGAGAAACCTTGGATAAAATAAGGGCCCTAAATGGAATTCCAGGATAATTTCTAGGAAAAACTGTGGAAACAAGCCTGGGCCTAGATACATTTTAGATAAAGAATCCGTCCATGCCTCCCATTATACATGGGTTCAAGCTAAATTTCCCGGACAGATCCAATCTATACTCGGGGAAAAATATCCAGGTCCAGGCTTTCTCCTAGACCAGATTTCTACCTGGGACGATATAAAAATTATCTATAATATTATATTTGCAATAAATATTATGTATTATATAATTTTAATATTTTTTTATTATTTTTATTACTATTATTATTATAGAGTTGTTATATCGTTTTATAATTGTTTTAACAATTTTATGTATATCTGCATATCTCGCAATGGACACGATATCAAAGTGATTTTGACATTTTGTCATACTACGAACTCTTTATTTCTTGTTATTCACAAAGAAATATACATAGTTTAAATATAAGTGTTATATTTTAAGAAACATTAGTAATATATGTAATGTAACATCGTCTATATAATAGAATTCCTCTACTCACGTTTCTAGCATTACCCTTAATAGATAAATACGAAGCGGAAGCTTTCAGAATTTCCTTAAAACCCATGAAATTTAGAAATTTTCCCGCGATCAACTGGTGAGGAATAATTGCTCAGGATTATCAACGGTAAATCCATCATTAAGCATACATAAGAATTATACCACAATGATTCATAAATCGCATAGCTCAGCATTTGCCCGGCAAAGCAATAAAGAAAAAGTTGCATCAACAGCACAACGATGAAAGAATGTGCTTTGTGGCAGCCTAAGTGTCGTGTAATTTAAACGAAATGAGTAACTGAAAGACCTAAAAAATATAATGTGTTGAAAATGTGTAAAATATATGATGTGTTAAAAATGTGATAAGTTTTAACAATTTTTTGTAAATTTTTAATATATTTTGTACACATTTTTTAACATGATATAAAACTTTTGATTAATAAGTGCATTGTATAAAAATCTTATAACAATAAGTTTGATTTATTTAAACGGAAGTCTACCTTCGGTGCACAGAAGAAGAACGCTCATAAAGAGATGCGCTAAGATGACTAAAGTAAATGTTCTTTCTAGATAATGCGCCAAACATATAAGACGGTAATGTCTCTTCAACAAAATGTCGAGTCTGTTGCGATAGAAAAATTTATCACGAATTTCAGTGAATTCCATCCGGAGCATCTCGAATTGTCCACATAAGTCGTGAGATCGAAGAAGAATCCGTCGTTTCCGCATTGCGAGATACAATTGACGAGGATCTGCGTCTATAGAATCTCAACAAAGAAGTAAGTGGAAAAAAACGTATTCTTTCCAAACACGCAATAGGCCGCTAAAAGCAGCTTTCTTTCATACGTTTTATTGTAAATCTGGTTTCCAGGTGTTCAGGACAGATTAATATAAGCGAGCGAAACACAACCGAGGCGCAACCGAAATAACAAAATATTGAGGAGCCCAATATACCTTTGCAAACAGCAAGATATCGTGCGAGTGAGTATTCCTCACGACAGTCCAATCGTCGATGATAGATTTTACCAGAATTAATTTGTATCTCCGATTCACGCGATGCAAGAGCAATTTCGCCATACCATTTACTGACGAGCAACCTGTCATAAAAGCGTCCGTAGCATTCTCAACATAATTTTTATTATGTGTGATAAATAAAAATTAGAGAAATAAAACATAGCGTACATAAATACGTAAAAATTCAAATTATAGTAAACATTTTAATGATATTAAAAAAAGTATAATTTACTTCTATCATCGTCGATATGAACCATCGAAATCTAAAATAAGTACTTAAACATTTTCTTCGTCTAATATACAAAGTCCAATCACATCAAGAAGATTTTTATAAAATATCAAAACATTTGCGATATCGGTATTCCAATTCGTGTTTAATCCCATTTTCAGACATTTCGAAATTTCAGAATTCCGTGAATTCTTTAATTATTGTTTTATTTGCTGACCGCAGGGAATTTCCAAGTATTTTTTAAATCACTGTTTTCCGAAAACGATTATAGTTCTATAATCATCTACAATGAATACATTATTCAATATTCGATTTGTTGTAAACGCAACACCCTACGATATTTGAAGCAACTTCCCGCGGCAACCAACTCGCTAAATATTATTTCGATTCTATTATTCATATTCTTCGGCTCGCAACTTTCCTCAGGAACGTAAGTACAGCCCACTTTTGCATTTTTATTTGTACAAATAATACAGCTACGCGGTTCAGCGTTTGTCCCCGACGATACTTACTAATTTATCTGCAATAATGGACTTGCAATCCTTTGAGTATTCTATTTGTCGATAAATAAATAATCCACCTACGCACATAGTTTTATGAGGGGAAAGATTCGTACAATTTCAGATGAATACATATGAAAAAGAAGCAAAGAGGGAAAAGAAAAAAAACATAAGTATACAGAGGAGAAAAATTATATATAAAAATATATATCAATATTGCTTCAACATCTTCTCGCGATATAAATATTACACGTTGAACAATATTGACGTGTTATTTTTGCGATATATCATTACTAATAACGTATTAATGTATTTTCAGGTTCTCGAATTTTTCCGACGAGGAAAATCCAATATGAACAAAAAACAATTGAACACAGAACATTTTCTGAATTATGTATTTTCATGTTAATCAAACTGTAAAGTTGTGCGTTTTGCGGTTTATTTTATTATAACGTGGAACTGATACAAACATTCAAACTTTGATGACATGTTCTTATCCAACATTTGGCAAAATATATTATCACTATCGCGGACACATGTAAAACTATTCACGTATGCAATAATTGAAAAAATTGAAATTATTGGAAACATCGCATTGAAGATATATCAGTCGTAGTATATAATTGTGTATCAATAATTTTACACGTCTATCATCACTCTGAGAACGGAAAGATAAGAACCTGTAGCCTTCAAAATCTCTTTGAAGGAAAATAGATTCATAGGCAGGAATTTCCCAGCTGTTATCTGATGAGCTAGCTCTCCCCGAAGCATCACCATGGGCAGATCTTTCATTACCTTTACGTCAAAATTATACCATGGACTGCTGTAAGCGTTGTATGCGAGCCTTCCGGTTATAGATTCCAGTTGATCACCAGCGTAGCAGTAAAGATACAACTGCACCAGCATTGTCAGAATCAGGACAACGTGCTTTATTGCTGCGATATTGTCGTTTATCTTCAACGAAATTATCAGCTGCATACCTGAAAAGAAGTTTTAGATTAATGTAGAATAGCACACAGGACAAAATGTAACTATGGCTCGGTTTACACCGATTATTTATCAATTAGTGCTAAATTCGTATTAATTAACTTAATTCGACATTTTATCTATACTCTACTTGGTATTTTAAATCGTTTACATCATTCAGATTAAATTGTTTAGTACAAATTTATCGTTAATATATTAATTCGGAGATGGGAATTAGTTGCAAATTTCGGCTCGATTTTCTGATTGACGCCTCCTGCCCCCTCCTTGCCGCTCATATGCTAGCAACAAGTCGCCAACGCGCTAACAACGCGCGTAATTAAGGTGCACGATATTCAGCCTCAGGAATGTCCATATCAC